ACACGGACAAAACTTTGATTTTCTTATTTATGATCACCTATTGATTACTGATTAATATTCATATGTGTGTTCCAATGCACATCATATCTCTTGTTTGAGAATTAGCATTTATTACCTTTTCTCTGTGAAATTAAGATAATCAGAGCATATCATCTGCCTCTTGCAGGTTTTTGGAGCCATCTGTCAAGCGGTCCAGCGCGCGCCTTATTATTCTCAATCGCACAATTTCAAGGGGCTCATTTGTGAGGCACGACTTGATTATCAGTCTGCTGCTGCATCTTACAGGCTGGCACGACTTGCCATCAAGAGCTTTTCTACAGCAAGTCCAGAATCTAGTGTTAGAGATGTAACGATTAATTTGGCAAGATCGCTTCTTAAGGTAAGCATGTCCAAAATTGTCTTTAGCTAATCTTTTTGGACCTCAAGGGAAGCTTAATACAGCTTCTGAGGCACATGGTGTAATGTAACTGTAGATGTTATGTCTACTTTAAGCAATTTTTCTAAGCCAATGCAGCTCATTGCTGCAGGCTGGGAATGCTTTAGAGGCAGCACAGGAGTGTGAAGCTTTGAAGACTAAAGGTTCCTGATTTGCTGCCCATAATTTAAAAAATGTTGCTAGATTCCTGTTGTTTTCATCATCTTAGAATATACTGAGCGACAGTTTGTATTTTAGGATGCTATCTCTCTGCCTCCATGGTTCTATTATTTTGTACAATGGAACCTTCATTGGTCTGATGATCTAAATTATATTTCTATCAGGTACTCTTGATGCGGAATGTCTCCAACTATATGCTCTCTCTCTTTGGCAGCTTGGCAACAATGAACTTGCTCTTTCTGTGACAAGAAACCTTGCTGCTAGTATATCTACCATGGAAAAGGCAACTGCAACAGCCACTGCTGGTTTCATTTGCAGATTGTTATATTTTATTTCTGGAATGGATTCAGCAATCAATAGCATTTTAAAAATGCCAAAGGAATTATTTCAGAGTCCTAAAGTTAGCTTTATTGTGTCTGGCATCCATGCTCTCGATAAAAATAACCGGCTCAATCAGATTGTTTCTGTCAGTCGTCGATTTCTTAGTTCTCTTGAAGAAATGGAGGGAATGCACTTCTTAATAGCTCTTGGTAAGCTGGTGAGTCATATCCTACTTTTTTAAAGCTCCACATTCTAGAGAGACATGGAATGTGCTTTACATTGATGAATTGATACTGGGCATTTTGCTTATATAGTTATACGTGAGCATTGTGCAGGTAAAGAATGAGTCAGAACCTGGCCTTGGTTATCGTACTGGAATTCATCATCTTCAGAAAGCTGTCCACATGTGTCCTAGTAGTAATCTGTTAAGGTAATATCAAAAGTGTAGGCAGAATTAATCGTCCTAGTTTCTTTAGCTCCAGCACTCACTTCCTCCTATCTATATTTTTTTAAGTATTTCCTCGAAATGATATGTTTTGCATCAGTCCTGTAATTTTTCCAATAATAGTTCTGCAATCTAGTGGTTTGGACTTGAAAGTGATGATAGAGAATGGCTTGTACAGAGTATGATGCTTGTCATGAACTTGAAACAAAAGTTGGAGCTTTCTAATGGTATGGCAGAAGTTTTCTAGGCTGAGTTGGTCAAACTCTTGTGGAATTAATCCATGAGTTGGCTTCTTTCATTGTGTCCGAGTGTAAAGTTCAGCTGACTTTAGAATATTATAGTTCTCTTGTTTGTGCAAGAAAAGAGAATATTAAAGAAGCATGGAGTGCGGACAAGACAATCGGTTAGAGTTTGACTGATAATATTCCTTGGGCCGGTTATGACTCTGCAATATTTCTTGGTTTTATTGAGTGGAGGCCATGCATAAGCATAGCTCATGAAACTAGGAATGCTACCTCTGTTGGTTTGTGAGTTTACATGGTGTATTTCCTAAGCGCTAAAGATGATGGCTGTGGCTTTGCTGCAAGAAAGATAACCGAGATGCTATGGCTTTACTCCATAAAAGATAAACTTGATGTCAGGACACAATAGCTTTAATCAGTCGGACATTGAATTGTAATTAGGTGTGTTCAATTCTTTCCCCTTTCAGATTATTTCCATTTTCGTATTATAGAATATAGATAGTTTTGTCTAGTTTGGGCGCTTTTTAGCCTCTGGTTTCATCTAGTCAAGAATTCTAAATGCCTGAATAGGGTGTTTGTGAGGTGAGGTTATGTTTTTCGCGTTTCTCTTAACATGAGGTTATGTTGACATGTATAAGTAGGAATGTTATATCTTAAAATTTTTCGTTCGACGCCATTCTTCTGGACCATTATATATTGTATGAAAAGTTGATTAAGAACCTCGTTATATATGTCAATGTTCACTGTGTTCTCCCCAATTCAAGACTGTTTTCTGACATATGTTGTGATAGCAGGCAATTGCTTGGTTATCTTTTGCTATCGAGTAAAGAATGGAATGGTTCACATCTCGCAACAAGGTGCAGTGTCATAAGATTCTCTGAAATTCCCCGAAAAGAAGGTTTCAAATCTTCATTTGAAATCCTTGGTGCTGGAGCAGTTGCTTGCTATGCCATTGGAAACAGCAATCCAAAGTTTTCTTTCCCAACATGCACATACCAGTGTTTTCAGGAGCCTCAAGCCATTCGGCAACTGCAAAAGTACTGCAGCAACTTATCCTACTGTTTAAGATCGAAATTTTTAAACACAGCACTTGGAAGAAAAATGTATTTTTTGTCCTAGATATGTGGCCTTTTTGGGGGCAAATCGTTGATATCTCAAATATTTCCTCTTTTTAAATCTCCTCTAATACTCATGGTTTAACATGTCTGTATTCGGCAGTTGACTCTGATTTAGGAACTTGTCAAGGGGCGTGTTATTATGCCTCCATCTTTCTTGACATGCTTTTCTCCCATTTCTGGCTGCAGATGCTTACGTCAGGAACCTTGGAATCATAGTACTCAATACTTGCTCATACTTAATCTTCTACAGAAGGCGAGAGAAGAGAGATTTCCTCAACATCTTTCTGGTATACTGAATCGGCTAATTCGCGTGGCTCTGTCAAATGAATTATATGCCAGGACAAGTACCTGCTATCCTTATAGAAAATTCCAGCTCTTACTTTCTTCTTCTGAGTTATGCTTTCAGAAGGGAAGTCAAGTGGAATGTATCGCTTCTGCAACAAATGCATCTAGGCTTCCGCTTCCTAATGGCTATCTTTTCTTCGCGCACTTGCTATTGTCTCGTGCATATGCTGTTGCTGGGGACCTGAAAAGCTCTCACAAAGAATATGAGAGATGCTTGGACCTTGGGACAAATTTTCATATTGGTTGGGTCTGTCTTAAATTCATGGAGGTACATTATGAGATGCAAATTGATACAAGCGAAATAGACTTGAGGTTCTATGAATGCTTAAAGGAGAGGGAAAACTCGGATGTAATGTGGGAAGCTATCTTCAATCTGGCACGGGGTTTAATTTCTTTATGGAACCATGATTTTCCCTCTGCAGAAGACTCTCTTGAACAAGCTTGTTCGTTGATGGATTCTGAGAGTGGAATCTCTCTCTGCTTCGGTAGGTGTCTACTGAGCCTATTTCACAGTGAAACATTGACCTCTCCCTGAAAATATACTTGCTCCATTAGATTTACTAGAGGAGAAGTAGTTCATTTAGGCACACGCGCACCCAGGCCTACATATCAGAGCTCTCTCTCTCTCTCTCTCTCTCTCTCTCTCTCTCTCTCTCTCTCTCTCTCTCTCTCTCTCTCTCTCTCTCTCTCTCTCTCGTACATATTCTGTTTGTGCTAACTGAGCAATTATTTGTCATTATTCAGGTGTCGCATGTATGGAATTAGCCAAGCTAGGGTATGGTTCTCAGTTCCTCTCGCTTGCTCTGAGACACCTCTCTAAAGCGCAGAAGACGGCTCTAGCTCCATTGCCTGTTGTCTCAATATTGCGGGCTCAAGCAGAGGGAAGTCTTGGATCTAAAGAGAAGTGGGAGAGCAATCTTGGTCTTGAATGGTTTACTTGGCCACCAGGTTTGGTTCTCATATGACCTGCACTGTAAAGCACTTAAAATCTAATGCTTCATTTGGATGAACTTTTAAATGTCTTCATTGTTTGTAGTATTTTTTAGACTAGGAAGTGTTTAGATTTCTTACTCTGGGGGTATTGCAAAAACGTTGGGTAAAAACATGTCACTGTTAATGCCCAACCAAAAAGGGCAGAGTGGAGATGTCTCTTTCTGGGAAAGTTTAGGATCTGAAATTTAGTTTTTGACTTATAAAATGGTTTTTCTGACGATTTGGCCATGTATTGGCAGAAATGAGGCCCGCAGAGCTCTTCTTTCAGATGCATTTGCTCGCGCAAAATGTTAAATCTGCACGTGACTCCACATCCTCCGTGGTGGCTTGCCAAAGTCCACAAAAGTGGGTTTGTCGAGCAATCCATACAAACCCATCTTGCTTAAGATACTGGAAGGTGTTGCAAAGGCTCGTGGAGACAAATTGATCGCTCGTCAGCAACTAACTCAGTTCTAGCTTGCGCCGCAGCTGGATGTATTGTTGGACGCGGCCTCAGTTCCATTCGTTGTAGATTAGCCACATTGTTTGTACACCAGTTCACATGTATCGTTTTTTCTTTTTCACCACACCCCCCAAAATAAAGGGGGAAAAGAAGAAAGGTTATAGCGTGTGGTCGTCTTCCTGTTGCTTTTAAGGTAATTCACCGGCTGGTGAGTTTCATCATCTAGTGCAATACACAATTTTTTTTCTTTTCTGGTCATAGCAATACACAATTTAATGTTCAAGGAAATTCAGTGGTTTCTTTTCTCTTTTGCTGCTTCGTTTCCTTTCGGCACAAAAGCGATGAGTTAAACTCATCTCGCAGGCTTCTTGTTCTTTCTGCTGGCTGTTTCTGAAAGACGACATGACATTATTATCGACTCATCCGAAACGGGGATGACGTATCTGATCTGTATTGTATATGGGATTCGGCACACTCATTTGGGCAAAAACAACAACAATTAAAGTCTTCGTTACTGCCTTTTATATTAATGTATGTTTTTCCTAGCCGAACTAGGAATGCACCGTTAACGCTAACTTATTCCAACGCCTTTGCCTATAACATCATACAAGCATTTCGCAACGAGATGGTCCCTGAATCAACCCACCCCAGAACTTACTATTTCGCCGGATTACGTATACGGACACCGACGACTGACGCTTCGACCAGTGAACTTGGCAATCGGATTCGTCCTAATTTACCTACCAAGACTCATTGCCCGGGATCGATCAAGCTCGTCTGATGGATCCCAGTCCAATGAGGAAGACAAGATCTTGGAAAGAGTCATGAAAACTTCGGCCATCTCAGGGCGAGCATTCAGATCGTTGGCGACGCATCTCTTCGCAAGCTCTGCCATGGAAAATGCCAAGTCCAAAGGATACTCGTTCTTAAGCGAAAAATCTATGAAGCCTCGTAGATTTTCCCTCACGTTGTCTCCATCGAGCACCCTCTTGATGGCTGCGGACAGCAACTCCTCTCCATTCTTGGAGTCTCCGGCAGCTTCCCTTCCGGACAAGAGCTCCAGCATCACGACCCCGAAGGCGAAAACATCTAACTTCGGCGTGATCACTCCATTCTCTATGTACTCCGGGGCCATGTAACCTTGAGTCCCGACGACATGCCTGGTCATCTGAAGTCCGCCTTCCTCGCTGTCTTCCGCGACTCTCGCCAGCCCGAAATTCGCGACCATTGCTCTGAAATTGGCGTCCAAGAGAACATTGCTGCTCTTCAGATTCTTGTGGATGTAGGGGGGATTCGTGTAGTTGTGCAGATAGTTGAGCCCATCGGCTATGTGGTACGCGACCTGAACCCTCTGCTTCCATGATAGAACTGGGGAACTTTCGAACTTCTTGGAGTGAAGCCAGTCGCTGAGAGATCCATTCTCAGCAAACTCATAAACGAGGTAAGTGTTCCCCTCATGGACGCAGAACCCGGAAAGCCTGATAATGTTGGAATGGTTGATCTGCCTCAAGATGTTGATCTCGCTCGAGACGTCGCCCTTCAGGACTTTCACCGCGGCGCTGTCGTTCTTGAACTTGCCGCGATACACCGAGCCCTTGATCTTGTTCTCCTCGCTGAAGAACCCGGTGGCCGCCTGCAAGTCCTGGAAGGTATACACGGTCAGAGTTTCAATGGCTTCTCGAATGCCGGAAGAAAAGCCAGAGAAGGAACCGTCCTTCACTGCCACAGAAGCGTAATCCGTCGGGGAGGTTTCCGAGAACTTCTTGGGCGTTAAACCGGACGATTTCGATTGCTTGCGCTTCTGAGGGTGATAGCAGAAGAACCAGAGCGCGAGAGCAGCAAGAGCAATCGCGAGCGCACCGCCTCCGACACCAACGCCGACGAATACCCACTTCTTCGAAGATCCCGAATCATCGGTCGCCGGCACGGAGGGAGTCGCCGGCGGGCTCGCGGGCGGCGGCGCTGTCACGATCTTTGTCGGCTCCTTGGACAGCGGCACCAGAATCGGCGTGAAAGGAAAAATCGTGCTCGTCTCCGTCAACTCGTTCGCGTCGAGCACGCTCTGCACGCTGACCCCAAACCTCGCCGCGATGGAAGAGATCGTATCGTGCCAAGTCACCAGGTAGGCGAGCAAGTACTCGACCCCGGCCGAGCTCTGGTTGGCCGTCGGGCAGGCGCACCGTACCGGGACGGTCAGATTCATCCCCACGGTCAGGTTCCGTTCGCCGTACGGGTTCTCCGCCATGAGGGCCTGGCACGTGGTGATCCCCTGGTAGGTGTCGTTGGCGACGAGGAGGTACGTGTCGGACGCCTTGAGCACGTACGACGCGTTGTGCTGGTAATAGGAGGAGGCGCAGGCGCAGTCGACGGGCGCGATGATTAGAGTGTCGGGAGCGAGGGGCTGGACGTCCGCGACGCCGTTGATGGAGGCCATGTCGGCGATGTAAGGCTGGGAGTTGAGGAGGTAGGCGGCGTAGACGAGGGAGGTGTAGACGGCGGTGGAGCGGAAGGTGACGTAGGAGCGGCAGGGGGTGCGGGGGCCGTTGCAGTCGAAGCCCCGGGTGATGTTGTTGTCGTTGGTGGGGTTGTCGCAGTCGAGCTGCTTGTTGTTGACGTAGGCTTGCTGGGAGAGGAGGAGGGGAGGGAGGAGGAGGAAGGAGAGGGCGTAGAGAGAGATGGAGAACTCCATGGAGGATTCGCGGTGTTGCGCTTCGAGGAGGGGAGCTCGAAGGAGGCGTGAGGAATGGAGATGGGAAATGGGTTTCGTTTCGCGCAGAGAGAGAGAGAGAGAGAGAGGAGACGGGAAGGGGAGATGGAGAGAGGAGTGATGCGTCGCTGTCCGAGGATTTAAGCAATTGGATTTGTTGAAGAAGAAGAAGAAGAAGAAGACAGACAGACGGACTGGACAGGGACGACCCGCAGCAGCAATGGAGACTGACGGAGAGGAGGCGGGCCGACGGACGACGGCAGTTGGAGGAGAGAGGAGGGGAGGGGAGGGGAGGGGAGGAACGCGTCGGGGGTGGGGTTGACTTGTTGACTTTTGGGGGGTGGGGGTGATCGACCAATTACGTGCCGTGTTCATGCGGGTTCGGAAAAGTCTTGGTTCCAGTTCCGGTTTCAGTTCCGTACTCTCTTCTTTCTTTTTCTTTTTTTTTTTTAATTAAATGCCCCTGTTGTCAGCGATGAGTTTATTGCGAAAATATATGAATTCATCTACTTGTTCTCAACATGATGCAATGAAACCGATGTTAATTGAACGATTGCTATCGGGCCTAACTAAACTTTGCTTTTTATAATTAGGAAAAGTTTAAATAGATTAAAAACAGGTCAAACGACTTTAGCTTTCACAACTTATAATAATCATAAATATATCTAAATCGCACTTCAATCGGTCGAAAATTATATACAGTGAAATACTGGAAGGAGCTTTATCTCGAATTTTCATCTCCAAACAACGGAGGTGAAGTAGAGAGAAGATGAGAAGAGCTTCACTTGACTCGACTCGAGTAAGTACTTCGGTTTTTCAATATTTTTCTTGATTAGACGTGTCAAAAATTTGGAATGTGTTGAGATTAAAAAGTCAGTCCAACGCGTCCACCGATTTGACCAGAATGGGCTGGGTTGGGTCTGGTCGATCCCTCCTGACCTGAAGCTGGGTCTAATTTCTAAATCCCAGCACTGCGCTTGACCAAAACAATGAATTCACACAGACGATCCCGAACCAAACGCAACGTTCATTTACACTACAAGGAACTGGATTAGCATGGGCCTAACGAAGAGATGACAGTCTGCTAATCTTCTCTGCATCCATGGCCACTTCCTTCATGGTCGGCCGCTTCTTCCCGTTCAATTTGAGACACCTCCTCGCGAGCGTCGCGAGGCCCGAGAACTCCTCGTCGGCGACTCCATGCCGGACCCCGGTTGTCCAAGATACTATAGAGACGATTCTCTTTCATCGCCAGAATGAAGTTCAGCACTAGGCTTTTCTCTTCTACTTCGACTTTGCTTCTGGATTCAGCCCTCTCTTCTGGACACTTCCACTGTGGAAATCGGCATAGATGTGGCCAAATGCAAAAAAAGCCAGCGCTCCGGCAATTTCTAGAGCGATGTTTACGCGGGCTTTCCAAGATATGCACGAAGAGCGATCCTCGCCGTGGAGGTGTTGGGAGAGAGTTCCGTTGCTGACGAACTCATAAACTAGTAGAGAGACCTCCGACAACATCCTAACAACTTCACCACGTTCCGGTGGTTTATCTCCGATAGGATGACAACCTCGTTGATGAATTGATCGACTTGCTTCTTGTGCATCAGATGGGACTTCTTTATGGCCCCGATTCTTCCATCGGACAGCATTCCTTTGTAAACTGTACCGCAACCTCCCTTCCCGCACATTCTGCTCTCGCTGAAGTTGTCTGTTGCTCGCTCTAGCTCCTCCGACGTGAAAATTTCGGTCTCGACGATTGTGCCTTCCTGCGAAGCTATCTGCTGGAACCATTCCGCTTGAAGAACGCCTTCTTGAGTTTGGCTCGCCTTGTCCTTCTAAGCACCCGAGCAAACCAGATTCCAATGGCTAAGGTGACTATCACAGTCAATCATATCGTAAGACCTGCACCCATTAGAGAATAATTAGTCTATGCAAATGAAATCACATTTCTGGCTCGATGAAAGAGACCAAAAAGTACCGCGAAGAACAACGTCCACAGTTGTCGCATCGCGGATGCAATGGTTTCCATCAGAACCGTTTGGAAATGTATAACCAGGTTGACAACTGCAGTGGTAGCCCCCATCGGTGTTGATGCAAACGGAGTTTTCTACATTGGTGCACATCTTTTTAGTCCCATTGCACTCGTTAATATCTGACATGGAAAGCAGCAAATGTGATTGCTAGAGAATAGATTACAGGATTTGGGAGAGAGAGACCATTTGATTGTTCTTTCTTCTGGGGGATTAAATGGGGTGACGGTACTTTTAGCTCAAGACAGTCAAGAACCGAGATCGTACCTAGGCAACCTTGGGGAAGGTATGGATTTCCTTCGAAACCCATCTTACATTCGCAGTGATGTCCTCGGCGGGCAAAGTCAACGCAGTGAGCATTCATGCCACAATCACCACCGAAGGAGGTGTTGCCTGTTCTATGATCTGGTTCACATGTCGCACTCCCAAAAACTCAACTCAATACCATCGGAATCTCGGGGTCCCCATATTTAACGAGAGGGAATTCCTTCTCCACAATGAAAGCACGGCTGCAGCAGGGTGGATATTGCGAGCATGGTCGACCTTGGGAGGAAGGCCGAACCTTGTTTGGTCTCGGCAGAGGGAGAAGCATCCTCTTGTGAAAAGCGAGGCCTTAATATTGCTGACATAGGTGAAGATGCCGCACCCGTCTCCAATCAGTGTGTTGAGGTTAGGCGAGAATAAGAAGGGATTGTACGTTCCGCAATCATAATGCATTGGCTTTATTAGGAGCTCCATTCCAGACTCATTTGGGGGAATGCCATTGGAGGAATGCAAATACCTTTGGACTAAAGGACTTTGGGAAAATGCAAAACTGTTTGGTAAAATGTAACTGAAAAGTGCTTTGGAGAAATGCTAAGTTTGTTTGGTAAATATAAATTTAGAAAGCTCTTTGGTGTGACCAAATTAAATTTTTAATTTAATATTTTTAAAATTGAAAAAAAGAAACAATGACCGTAACTTTGAGTTGGGCTTGACATTTTTCAGTCTTTTTATGTGCCTAATATCTATTTCAAAGATGTTATCTAGTTTCTTCTTTCTATATATATTGCATTAAAATGATATCTTTAGTTTACATAGCTAGGTGTGAATGTTATGTCGCACTTTCTGTAACTCAAAGGGGCTTTGGAAGCAAAGAACATGTCTGCAAATGATTTTCTTGGCATGCGCTACTGGTATCCCTTCACCAAGGAGGTAGTTTAGCAGGTTTTTGCCAATTCTTAAGAGGATATCTAACATTCTTGAGAGGTTGTCATTTCACAATAATAAATATGATCACATATGTCCGCAAAAAAGAAGCACGCTATCCTTAATATTACAAACCTCCTCAACGACTTTGTAAGCTCATGGCTATTTCATCACGTAAACGTGTCATGTCGGAAAATGCATTATCATTTGAAGCACTAACCCCCCCTCACTTGAATCATCATCGTCAACCGAATATCCATAATCGGGATCCACCGCTTGTTCAAAAGGCAACATGCTGTGTTATTCATACTCAAAGGGATTACTCCCGCTATGAATCCAACCGTAATGAATGCAACCGTAAATCACAAAAAAAAGGGTCAATGACTACAAGAAATAATCATACTTTTCGACAAATTTACACGTATTGAATTTGCTCTATTATGAGTACAACCCAACATGCCGTGTTATGAGAGTCGAGTCATTATGAACTTTGATAATAAAAACCTGGATCAATTAGCAAAAGAAATAGAAGACAAAATCTGGGTGGTACAACATAACTGCCCTAATCTAGGAAATGGGAGAAACAAGCCACTATACATCCACTAGATATACCCCCAAGTGCATGCTCTGTTATGGGTAAGGCCCATGCTCTGTTCAAAGAGCCAAGTCATCATGGAGATTGAAAACAAAAACCTGGATCAATTCACAAAAAGCAAAAAAGAACAGAGGAAAAAATTTGGGTAGCAACAAGTTCGCAATTAGAATAGAGGAATTCGCAACTTCTTCCAAATAGAACAACAATGGATTACGGAACGGTCAAATCTTACAATCAAATCCTAAAAGAAAAAAAAATGAAAGAAAGCTAGAACAATTTTTGGACTTGGGTTGTGTGTTCAGCCAAAGGTTTTAGAGCTAGGACGACAAAATGATATTAGACCTGATAGGATTGTCAGATAAAAACACGAAATGGCAGAATGTAAGAAGCCTATGTCTATGTCTGTAGTCTTCATCTCATCCCTCTGAATCATAATTGGGCTTTACTGAAGGATAAGGCCACTGCTGGTGAGTACTGCCCAGCCCCTTTTACCACAGAAGGAAGGACCACCATCCTCTAAAAAGCTGAGTCGGAGGTGGCTTCTTCGACCTTCAGAGGGAATGTCAAAGGGAAGTTGTTCTTGGTCCACCAAGAACCGACTGATGAAAAGGACTATACAAGCACCAAAATGCCGCAACAAGTTACCTCTTAGGCAAAACAAAGGAACAACAAAATGCAAAAATTTCCGTAAAACATATGGAGCCCAGAGCCCAATTGTTCCCCACTTAAGAACAGAGGAAAAAATTTCCGTAATCCATTGCCTCAAATTACCTCTTACGCAAAGCAAAACAAAACGGAAAACCCTAAAAACATATTTAAGACTATACAAGCACAAAAATCACGAAATGCACAAATTGCATGGTGATTTCACCATGGAAGAAAGGATAAAACCTCAAGGATGGCCACAAAATGCGCAGATCTAATAAATCAAAAGCACATCCACCGGGGAGAGAGAGAGACGAACCTGTAGTTGTGCCAGGGAACGAGCGAAGCGAACCACCGAAGCGAACGAGCGAGCGATCCGTCTGAAGGAGAGCGAAGCAACCAAAGCGAGCGAGAGAGGCGAGCGATCTGTCTGAAGGAAAGTGAAGCAACCAAAGAGAGCGAGAGAGGCGAGCAGTTCCGCGCGAGAGTGAGTCAACAATTGAGAGTGACAAAAGGCAAATGGGAGAGCGAAGAAGCAGAACGCTAGAGACTACTGCGTTTTGTTTTTTCAAATGGGCAAAATTGGACTTTCAACAAAATTTTGAGGGCAAAATAGGCAACTGACAAAAATTCATTAAATGGTGGAAGTTGCATCCCGAAAATGCTGAAAAGCCCAAAGCACCTCCTCACCTGCTTTGGGCTTTCAGCATCCCAAATGCTAGCTTTGGGCTTTCTGTATCTTAAAAGCAATTGCCAAACGGTTCAGCATTTTGATAAGGGGCTTTTGAGGCCGAAAGCCCCTTCCCAAAACTGAACCAAACGGGGAGGATGACAATTAGGAAAATCCCAATCATGAAACACACGCACCTTATGGACGAAGAGCGTCCGGAGAAGAGCCATTGTTGCAGGTGATCTCGAACCATTTGTCTTTGTAACACCCTTCTCTGATGCCAAACGGGTAAGGAATGCTGACATTGCCGCATTTCTCAGGACACCCCATTTTGGCAACCGGATAAGCAATGGCATCATGACAAACCAAACCAAGAACAACCGTCGCAAAGACAGATGCTAACCTCTGAACTGATGACGTGGAATGAAAATCTCAGAACTTCAACCTTCATCAGTTGCAGAAATGAATTCTGAAGGTGTTGGTGTCTGCAGGATTTCTATTAGAGAACAATACTTTAAAAAGACACAGACAGATAACAGTTGCACTTTGCCCTTTTTAAGGTTTAACATACTTCCTTTTTTATGAAGAATCTAAACGCTGCCCCCTCAAGTTGAACTAAATGGATTGACATGGTAACAGGTTATCGAACTGTCCAAATTTCAACTTTATTAATGAAAGAGACTAAGATTGGCCAGGTCAAGTATCTTAAAACCCATCGTCAAGAACAATCTTAGAGGCACAACATCATTTCAAATTTTATCTTTGGCTTAAATGCCAGAAAATCTCTTTGTAAGTTCTTGTAGCTCTCTCCCTCTCCCTCTCTCTCTCTCTCTCTCTCTCTCTGCCCTTACACGTGATCAATGACGTTTTAGTTGCCACTTCAACAAGAAGGATTCTCTCTCTCTGCGCTTGCGAGGGATCAATGACGACTTTTAGTCTTGGCCAGCATCATTACTTTCGGTCGTTTCCATAAAAACGAGACTCGTCTCTCTATTGGATGTAACTTCACAAGGAAAAGTACAAAAATTTAGAAATTACTTTAAAATTAGCAGAATAGTATTCAAAAACCAAGAGTGACGTTCACTCCATTTAAAAAACGTCTCATTTCCCATTGTTCCGAGCATCATACCGACGCAAGCACAAGTGGGTTAACATGGATTAATAACCTAGAAACTAAAACTAGGTCATTGCAGGACAATGCGACTTTTCCGGTGCTGCTACTGTCCGAGACTGCAGCCTGGGACTGTGCATGTGGCTCATCTTCTACGTCACACCTTAAGAATTGTGAAAAAGTATCGAAGATGACAAATGTTGTTAGTCCGGCTGTCCGTCAGAAGAAATGGAGGCATCTGTAACTGTATATGATGCTGCTAGAAAGCTATAAACTGGGTTTAACGGCTGTAGAAGCCCAACAACTTAATAGAAGTTGGCCCTGGTAACCATCAATCAAGCTTGTACTTCCGGAGACACTTCCAGCAGAGTGATCCAACTTCATAGGCAATTCCAAGAAAAGCAAGAAAAAATACTGCAGCAAGCGAAAATCACAATGAGAAGAAGTAAAAGAAAAGGCCAGAAGGATCCCACACGTAATACAAATTAAAAAAAGGAGCTGGATAATAAAGAAGGAAACTCAATTTGTAGTAATAAGAAAACCCTGCGTAACCACACTAAGTCACATTCTTTGTGCGCGCGCACACAAACTTATCCTCCTGATCCTACTACTAACATTTACAGAGGAACCACTCACAACATGAAAATATTGAATGCTCACCACCTTGCCTCCAAACTTCAGGGCACAAGTCGCTCTCCCTCAATTGGACACTTCGCAGAAAACAAGATCTCACCTTCTTGTCACTCTATGCTCTGAATCAATTTTGTTTCTTTTTTCCCTCTAAATAAGTTCTTGCGTCATTTTAACTCCAAACTATATATGTTTGGAGTTAAAATGTTCTTTTAACTCTCCAGTAGGTACCTTATACGGCAACCATGGCTTTTGACGCTACCAAAGACATGGACTACGGAAGAAATTCTGGATATTGAGTATGATGTAGAGAGTTTGAGGGAGTGGTCGGTCGAAGAAGAAATGAGTAATCAGCATGAGAGAGAGAGAGAGACAGAGACAGAGAGAGAGAGAGACAGAGAGGGTAGTATCCTCTCACTAAAATCCATCCATGAAGTCACGTGAACGAGGAAAAGATGAGGAGATGAATGACAAAAAACTTTTGCTGATGAATCTCTAGTTAATTGCTGAAATTGTTTTGCACACCTAAAAATCCAAAAAATCATTAATTCAACAACAAAATTCAAAATGAGTAGAAAACCATCGAAGCATTGTGATGTTCTTACCAGCTACGGCGCAATAAAACAAAATTGCCAAGCGATATCTGATAATCCATGGTAAGGCAACTTCCAGAGAACAGTGCCTTTTATACCCTCCAGCGGCATCGGCAGCCGCAGGTTTCCCGTTGTATGCTTTCAGTTCGGACAACGAAACATTGACACTCGTTACATGGTGTCCATAAATATCTCTCACTTGAATAATCAATTTCACTGGGTTTTCGCCCCAATGTATCTCAATTGCGCCAAAATTGGGTTGACCTGCACGAAACAAACTTAGCAGTGATACCCCACAACCAAGAAAGTGTCCACCACGAAGTTTAAAGGACAAGAGAAGTATTAAGGCATACCAAAAGTGCATGAACTGAATCTGCAGTTACGGCTCATCACCCTCATAGTACTTGGCGTCAACCATGCCACAAATCTCACTACAATGTTTAATGGAGGTGGGACAGCCTTCTCCACAGCTTGTGTAAGACCACTAGAAGTAATGTCAAACAATGGATAACCAACCCCACAGTCATATCTCGCAATTTCTCCAAAATGAACATCTCCACTTATGAAGAACACACCATCTCTCTATTTTAATACAAATTAAAATAGATAAGTCAACCACCATGACAGGAAAAGCGTTTTATTAAACTTCAGTATACAAGAACAGCATGTTGGAAATTTGTCACCTTACTCTCCGCAATTAATTTAAATAGCCGGTCCCTCTCCTTTGGAAAACGTCCCCAAGCTTCCAGGTAAAACACAGGGCCAGTTGCAGCCGAAAGATTTGATATGACCTGCATTTTTTTAAGCAATTGAGTGCAAATATAGCAATGGTTACCCAATTAGCAAATTCAAACTAAACAATTTCCATATAATACTCGAACGGGTTTTGCTTGAACAATCCTTGCAATGGCTCATGTCTGGGTTTTCTCTCATACCAACATCATCATATGAGGAAGTTGTGTTTCACTGGATGACTTGCCTATTCACGTGGATATACTCATTTCACTAGAAGGCTCTGTTTGTTTCACAGAAAATGAATGATTTAAAAACATTTTCCTAAAAACAATCGCCTGTATTGCTTACAAAAATTAATAAACGAAAAATATTTTCATTGTCCACAAAAATGTTTAAGCATAAATTGTTACTGATAATGAAAGCTTCCATTGACTAATTATTTCAAACAATACAAGTGATCATTTTTAGAAAATTGTTTTCCAAATCATTCATTTTCCACGAAACAAACGGAGCCCAAGATTCTAACCTACAAGCGATGCAAGCGATTGTAGGTTAGAATAAACACATCAAGCAGCTCCAAAAAAGACTTTTCAACTTTATTTAACTTGATTTGAAGGAAGGCGCAGGCACATTCCGGTTATGTCGAGAGTAATTTGTAAATTACCTGAATGGAAGATCCAATTATAGTTAACTCTGTTGCTGGCCCCATCAACTCTTTCTCTAACCATGTCCATTGTTCCGACCCCAAGATGCTTCCATCACTAAACAAAGGATCTCGATGATACCTTGTATCTAGAAGAATGACCTGAAAGGGAAATCCACCAGTAATATATGGTATAAAATCACTGAACAGACTTACAGCATTTACTGGAGTTGGTCAGCTCATAGAATTTGAAACAAGATAGGAAAAAACTAGCGGGTAAGGCAAGGACACAGTGAAAACTGTGCATGTCTTCCCGCAAGACGGCCCAAATTAGTATTGGAGCAGCTTGAGTGAGAATAATTAACTTGAGAAGAAAAATATTACGTTGGACTAAAACCTACATATATTGACATTCCAATACTGCAAACATCCATCTAATATTAAAGCACATTCAATTGAATACCTTTATTTGCTTACCCACAGGACCGAATGTATATGATGCATAAACGCCTGCTTGCTTACGCCTGCAATTTCCAGCTGTCTCAAGAATTGTCACAAGTCCTCACACAAAAGCAAAGAACAATCCAAGAATAGATGATATTTCCTTGTGACAAAATGCTTGCATGGCCATTATAAAATTCAAAAATTAACAAAAAGCACGGGTTGTATAAAACATTAAAATTGGTGTGTCAGCATAGACCGTGCAATATCCTCACCTGGGACTATCCTTGGGTTCATCTAAGAAGTTGAGGAGAAGTCTTTGGTTAGTGACTTTCCCACCAAATTCCTTTCCTGCGTCATTCAGTCCATAATCATGGTCATCCCAAGTGCCAATTACCTAGACACAAGGATAGCTCCACTTTCTTAACACTTTTGCGCTGACTGTTGGTGTGTTAACTCTACTGATAAAACTTTCGAAAGAGAGAACCTTAGCATTCTGTCGAAGACGAGAATAACCGGGATTAGTCTTAGCTCTCTCGTATCTGGACTCCATCTCTTGCTCAGGTGAAGGAACAAATCTCGGGACATTCTTCCATGGTCCTACCGTCCTTTCTTCGCCGAACAGTTGAAAAGGACGCTTTATATCTCCATATATATTGTCACCCAGCCAAATGAACACCTGAGGATCAAACTGGATGATTGCATCCCAGATAGGCTGCAAAACATGAAACTCCTTCAGCGACCACACGTGTTATCATCGCCTTCCATCACAATTCTACGCGGGTTTAGCTTAGAACGGCATCAGCACCGCATCTCATCACTGAAATTTAACTGATGCAGTTGTATTTCACAAAGGCCATTCATGTCCCAAGAAAAAAAGAGCATAATACACGAAGAAAATTTTTATAAAAAATGTCACAACCGCCCTTAGTTTGCATCAATATCTTAATTAAGGAAGATTTAATAGCTCAAGTACACGTTTTTACATTGAATCAACAAACCCCATCCACCGGACCCACCAACTATTATCGAGTAAAACAAAACAGGACCAGGACCAGGACCAGGACCAACTGCTAGGCAGATTCCCACAAAGCAATCTTTATAGTTTCGGTCTTATCTTCAATCGAGGATCCCAATGAAACCAAGTTTCGTGCTTATTTTGGATTAGAGTCGTTAAAAATGATGAATTGCATAAAAGGAACAAATAAAAGGAACAACGAACAAAATCTGCCCAGTCCACTGAAACGGATGAACATGCTAAGAAAGAGAGAAGGGAGCGAGGGGAAGAAGAACCACGAACCTGGGGTGCGCTCTGGTTCGCGCACGATCCGAAGGCGATTCGGGACACCGCCCTCTCCTCTCCGGCCCCGGCGACGGAGGCGCCGAGCGAAATCAGCCATCCGACCACCGCCCACCCCCAAGCCCAGCGCGCCCACCGCCGCTCCCTCATCGGCTTATCGAAGCAAAACGCGACCGCGAGTCAAAGGCCGATCGCTCTCCGGTCCCGGCGAAACTCGAGCGCGCGAGGCAAACACGCCGCGACGATCGAAGAAGTACCCACCATGGAAACGGAAGGAAATGCAAAGCGCTGCGATCGCGACAGCAGGAAAGATGCGAATCGCAGACACTGCGATGCTCTCTCTCCTTCACTCTTTTGCCGGGAAAAAGGGCAGAAGGGGACGATCCAGCCCAGCGGTTTAGTGCTACGCGCGGTGACGGAGCCATGCGTGACCAGCTCACTGATTGGGACTCTGTAGAGGTGGCATTCAATCGCGGCCGTACAGGTGGCTGCGGGTCGGGCTTTAAATGGTTCCGCTTTTCTCGTTGGGGGCTACGCAAACTTCGAATTGATTTAATTGGGTCGGTGAATTAATGGGACTCATCGTGGCTTTTTTTTTTTTGCGCCTTTTGCAAAGGACTATTGGACACAAATTCGACACGTTGCGGTGACGGGGGCACGTAAAGAACGTGCTTAAAATGCATTAAAATATCCACCCAACTTTTTAACATCTAAAGGAAAATTTGTAGTTTTAATAAAGTCAGCATGAGGCAGCATGGTCCTTCCTCTAGTAAATTCATCTATCGCGAAATACAGCCACGCGGACACTTTCGTTTACATAACAGAAGATGCGAGTCTTGTTAATAAGTGTGCCCGATTTAATCATGAATTTTTTTAATTTTCAAAAAGTGATTACACGTAACTCGCTAATAGAGCCTTCAAGATATAATTAGATCTTTCGAGAAGAGATCCAGAATTTAAATTTTGGTAAAGCGTGGATTCCATCCTTTCTCCGTGCTATTTACTAACGGGGTTAAGAGCTTAATGTTCAAAGTGATGTTTTTCCGGAACTAGTTCTTTTACTCTATCCATTTTCATTGGTGGGATGTTTACAACTTCTAAACTATACTGAATAATGACTGTCCAAAATGACACTGACGGGGTTAAGTAATGTTAAACTGTGTAGATGATATTTTGAAACATGATAAATTATCTTTTTATTTTTCAATACAATTATGACGTTAATCCTGTAGACCAAGTTCATTTGACTTTTGATCATTGGAGTCTCGTTATAACTGGGGCTACACGGTCATTTACCGCTCTTTGGCACTGTGCCCAGATGGTAGACAAACCGAGTGCAGTAGTTCGAAGAAACCATGTACGGTGTACACAGTTTAGGAGTGGACAAATTGTAAAAGTGACAAATATACTTCCCCTGTTTTGTTTGCCTCAATCTGAAAATTCCCCCCAACTCGTATCGCAGCATATTTTTTCTGGTAAGGAATAATTACACAAATAATCTTATATGAATTTTATGTCGAGGACAATATGGCCCGAACTTTTTTGTCCCGTAAAACCACTTTAGGTTGAGGGACAATTCGCCCGAACTTTTTTCTCGTAAAAAACACAAACTTTCACTTAAATCCCAAATCGGCCCTTATTGACTTAAAACAATTGATTTTCCAACTTGACTATTCCACCTTAGCAATAAATCCACGTGACTTGCGATTGGATTTAAAGCATTATTTATCATCTTATTCTCTCGAACCACAAAGAATAACGTGAAACCTGTTCGTCTCCTTCACTTCACCAAAGAAGTCAAAAATATCTCCAGATTGAATCTTTCTAGCCAAACCGTCGTTTTGTCGTAATCTAAAGTGTAGACCACCGCCCGTAGACGGACGCCATGGAAGAGATTCGCGGCTCACCACCATAACTTTTTTTCTCAAACAAGGGTAACTCCATTAAAGTCAACGGGCCAAATTTGGGATTTAAATGAAAGTTGGTGCTTTTTACGAGACAAAAGTTCGGGGAATTGTCCTCGACCTAAAGTTGATGCTTTTTATGGAACAAAAAGTTCGGCGAAGTCCCTCGACCTAAAGTTGTGCTTTTTTATAGAACAAAAAAAAGTTCGGGCCAGAATTGTTCCTCGACCTAAAGTTGGTGCTTTTTTTTGGAATTAACCCTATTTTTTCTGGTAAGGAATAATTACACAAATAATCTTATATGAATTCTTAATTTATTTAATATGGTCCCTGAACTTTAGCTCAATATGTTATATTATTTCAGAACTTTTTAATTTGTTTAATGTGATGCATGAACTTTGAAAAATGTTCAATATAGTCCCTAAACTATAGGGGTGTGCAACCGGACCGGGTTTACTCGGAAACCAGATTTGACCACCCGAAAAACAGGTCTGGGAGCCGATTTCTGCTTGAACATGTTCCATGTTTTGGGAATTGGTCGGAATCAATCCGGTTCCCGATTCCAAGTGAAGATCCACCTGGAATCGATCCGCCGGTTTTGGAATTAGTTTTAGTTTGCATTAAAAAAAACTTTAGATCATATTATTACTATGTTTTGGATTGTTGCTTTTGGTGGATAATAATTTTTATTGCTCATCTTAGGAATTGTTGCTTTTGGCCTAGTAGACCTTGGAACTGGACCGGAAAAACAGGGTAAGTTTCAGATTTCAAAAATTGGGAACCGGTTATGGCAGGATGGGTTTCAGATCTAGAATCTACCCACCTTAGAATCGATCACTCATACTAAATTATATAAAAATATACAATGTTATCTTTTCATTAATTCAGATTCAGGAACAACTTCAAAATAGTTAAGGGATTAAATTGAAAATTTATTAAAAATTTAAGGATTATATTGAACAAATTAAAAGTTCTATATTACATTTTAGGCTAAAGTTAAAGGATGAAATTGCACATGAGGTCAAAATTCATAAATCAATTGTGTCATTTTCCCTGTCCGGTAATGCTTGCACGATATTTCATGTATAGTATTTATGAACGTGCGTCTCGATTATTAATTGAAGAAGGCAAATGAAGATTAAAAGAACACATAACCACCGAAAACGTGGAATAAAACGCGCATTAAAGAACTCCCTCTGAAATCCAATCGGATATAATATAAGCAATGCGAGTCTCGTGGTATACCTTTACCAGTCAAGAGTCAAGACCGCACAATTACGACATAAAATGTCCAAATTCGTCACTTAATTTACAACTGTATGGTGCCAAACGAATGAGGATACCAGAAACAAAAACAAAGAATGATCTCGACGCGTGAATCAGCGCATCATGACTCTGAACTCGTCGAAGCTGAGCACGCCGTCGCCGTTGAGGTCGAACGCGCCGATCATGGCCCTGCAGTCCTCGATGGACCTCGTCTCCCCCAGCCGGCTCAGCATCCTCTTCAGGCTGCCCGCCGTGATGCACCCGGACCCGTCCATCTCGTACATCCCGAACGCCTCCTCCAGGTCCTTCCGCCTCTCCTCCTCCCCGCCGCTCTCCACCAGGCTCTCGAACTCCTCGAACCCCAGCATCCCGTCCCCGTCGAGGTCCGACGACCGCACCGCCAGCTCCGCCTCCTCGCTCGACAGGTCCCCGCCCAGGCTCCTCACGCAGCTCCTCAGCTCCACGGGGGATATCCTCCCGTCCCCGTTCTCGTCGAAGTAGTCGAACACTCTCCGGAGCTCCTCGCCGGACTTCCCGCGGTCGCAGCCTCCGGCGTTGTTTTCAACAGAGGGAGCGCGGCGGTCGGCGCTCCTCCTCGGGGACAGCTTGCGGCACAGCCTCCCGAGCGCGGATTCCCTCTTGGTGCCGGGATCTCTCTCCGGCGAAGAGCTGGTGCTGGAGCCGGAGCGGGACGAAATCGAATCGGACTTCATTGTGGGATGGAGGATTTGATTGTGAGTGATGAGTTGATTCGAGTGAAGTAGCTGAAAATTGAACGTGTGTTGAGAATATTAGCCGAGAACTTTTTGGATGAGACTGCAAGATCGGGAAGGTCGGGCTGGGTATATATAGGGGGAAGAAGGACGGAAGGTGGGAATAAAATAAATTTGGGAAGACGTGGGGGTTTATCGGTTAAAAGATTTGGTTGGAAAGTGTGCGGGACGAACGCGGTTTTAATATCAAAAGGGCGGTTTTTGTGGGAACTTTTAGCCGCGCGCCAGTTGTTTTTTCGGAGAGTCGGCATGTATTGTAGCGCACGTCGGGCCGAGGCGAAGTTTCTCCGCTGCTGCCGCTCGTGCTCGCGGCCGCGCGCGGGGGAGGTCCTTGTTTCTAGGGAGGTCTGGAGTTGTCCCCCCGGGGCAATCCACGTGCTTCCGTCGTAATTGTTGTTTCGGAAAAGGAAAACGAGGAAATTTTGTGATTTATTTACGTTCCGCGATTCATTAAGTGGATACCTACGGGATGATCCGAAAGAATCTCAAAATTACCTCTCTTGCCCCTCGATGCCCGCAATTACCTCTCTTACCCTTGTCATTACGGTGAGGAGCAATCGGAGAATGGCCCCGTTTGGTTTAGCATTAGGAATACTCATTTAGCCTTAAATGAGCATTCCCAAAATGCTGAACCAAACGGTTCAGTATTGGACTTCCAAATGCTCATTTGGTAGCATTTGGAATGCTGACTGTTCCCCAAAAAAAAAAAAAAATTCTTCTTCAGCAAAGTGCCGCCGGCTAGGACGGCCGGCGAGGTCGCGCGACCCCGGTGACGGCCGCCTGGGGTCGGGCGACTGCCCAGGCTGTCGCCGCCTGGAGTCGCGCGACCCAAGCAACGGTCGTCACTACGAGGTCGCGCGACCCGGACAGGCGACGGCTGGGTCGGCGACGGCCGCCCGAGGTCAGCTCAACCTAGGCATCGCGCCCAGTTCACGCGACCTCAGGCCTCCTTGGGCGGCAGCCGCCACGCTAGTCGAGATACGCTAACGGCCCGTAGCTCTTCGCCGGAGCCGGCGAAGGGTACTTTTAAAAATAATAATAAAAAAAAAGCTCTCAAAGCCCATTTGTAAAACGAAATAACCAAACACAATTGCATTTCCCCAAATGGCTTTCAAATAATTTTTTACCAAACGCCATTTACATTTTTTCAAGTGCCTTTCACCAAAAGGTACTTTCATTCTCCAAATGAGCATACTAAAAGCTGAATCAAACGGACCCAATAATTGTCACCGTGAAACTTGCTTTGATAAGATGGGAGACGGGTTCATTCACTTCGATACGAAAGTTACAGGGGAATAGTACACTCTTCAACTTGATCGGACGCCTATCGGGTCACGGACTCATTTATGTCCTTTTGTGACCCAAATGAGTCTCAACAGCATTTTCGAGTAAGTCTAGGCAAAACTATATTTAATGTAAAGGCTAGGTCGAGCTAGCCTATCATGATTGGACCAATTTATAAACATATATAGCTTTTTCCATTATATTCAGACATGAGCAATAAGTTAGATCCGATGCAGCCTAGCTCGAATAAACACCTCTAGGCACTCCAATTGAAGAATGCCACGATCTTTTGTAATGATAGGTGCATATTATGGACCGCGGACTCAATCACTAAGTCATGTATCTATATGTATACTGTCACTAAATGCTTTATTTATTTCGCAAAAAATAAACGATTTAAAAATCAATTTTCTAAAGTGCAATCGTTCACAAAAATAAATGAACGAAAATGTTTTCATTGTCTACAAAAATATTGAGACATAAAGGGGTATTAAGATGAAAACATTTTTTATTGATTAATGTTTTTAAATTATACGAATGATATTTTTTATAGAAATATTTTTCAATTCGTTTGATTTTTTACGAAACATACGGAGTCTAAATATCAATAATAATTTATATGGTGTGGCCGTTAATGTAAAATCGATATGGCCGCCACGTAATCATGCGGCTTATTGATATTTATCCTTTCTTCTTTACTCCTAAGGTGGAGAAGAGAAAAACAAAAGTCACGTCTATGTGGACCCGGGAAAAAATCGGTGCAAAACAATCGGCACGTCTCCTGTATTGGTTAGCACCATATCAACATCTTTCAATGGTTATTCACCGGAACGCAGTGGTTTTCCCCCCTTCCCAATATTGCTGGGGTCAAACCTTCCCGGTCAAGTCCGCCACTTTGTCAATTTTCAGTGATCGCCCAACAATGGCATCCATGAAAAAGGAAATCATAATGCCATTACACCAAAAGCTCATGACAAGGGCTGCTCGTGTAGGATCTGCACCTACCCAAGAATTCGACGTCTTTGTCCGTCGTGCCCAGGTTTCATCGACCGGTCGCAACTCCCACCTCACACCATATGCATTACTGCCTATTTTCTCTTGTCTAATTCGCCCTCGCTAAGACGGACCGTGAGCTTCTGAGTAATTCACATCATAATCCGCAAGTAATCTCTATGAAAGTGCGCCCTCATGCTGAACTCCATCTCGATCCCATCCGACAAAATCTCAAAATTAAATTATTCAGAAAGAACAAGAAGAAAAGGGTTTCGTTTCCAAGGGGGGAGATGCATGGAACTTGGGCAATGCCAGTGTCGTACAAAGTTGGTACCGACCGACAAGCCCCGGACGCTGGACAAAACAGACGTAAGGACAGAGATAAAAAAACCAAAAAAAGGCATGTCGGTCACCGGTGGGTATGCCAACTTGCGACACTTGCCCTTACGTGTGTCGTCGCTGGCCGGATCGAGTCGTCGCTGAAGCGAGCAAAGGTAAAGGGCGGGGTGCAGATATTTTTTTAACGGTCAGGAACCGCCACGTGAAAATGCGTGTCCTCATCTTATCTTCTTCTTCTCGGAGCTTTGACTTTTGACCGGTCGGGCTTTTGATTTTTCACAACAGTGTCTGTGGGCCTGTCCACGTCGGGGGTTTGAGGTCACGGCCCACCTCATCATCATCATCCTATTTCATTAGCACGCCCGCCTCCCTACTCGCGTTACACGCGGGTTCCCCTATTTCTGGAAGCGTCCGACTTTATCGAGATGCCCATGCAATTCAAATTGATCTGGCTTTCCACGTGAATATTCAAAGGGCCTTCGTAATTTCGGAGAAATGAAGTCTGCTTTGGCACGAGAAAAAGACAAGAGAGGAGATGAGATCATTGATTAGGGCTTGAGATGGGTGATCAATTTGGATTTAGCAACGAAAATGATCAATCCTGTAAATTTTGCTTACCGGATGAAAGTTGTAATTTGACATGCGGGAGATATATTCACAAGTAAGAGATTGTTCACTAAAAGGGAAGAGGAATTGGACTCGTTGATTGCAAGTGTGGCTACCCTTGTTTTCCTTTTCGTTATTGTTGATTATAATTGCTAAGATTCTTTTATTTACTTTATTTAACATCCCGGTAGTGCTCCCACTTGAGTATCAAATGACAAAATCGTGAAACTCGGTATAGGACGAATAAAAACGGACAATATCTCAAGTGAGTTAGTACAGAATGTCACAATATAGTATAAGAGCGGGACTTCTCCAGTAATTGTGTGGTTCAGGGACGAATTACGCGGAAGCTAATGGGCCTATAACGAACTAATTCAATGAGTTTGAGAAGTGATCGACGGGACTAGAGGGCTTAGACAATGAGCTCCTAGTAGACTTTTAGTATGACGAATGGGGTAGGAATGAACCTAACTATGCACCGAACATGAAATAGCGATTGTGATATATATATGTGTATGTGTGTGTGTGTGTGTGAAAAGTGCAATTTCATAAGAGTAAGAAAGAATTGATCCCCAGTTCAGTTCATTTTCTGTTTAGTGGCTTCTCTGGTAGAACTAATCAAAGTAAATTTCATATCGACTTCTATATATACGCCTATACGGTGCTAAACGCGAGTTTAAAAATCGCGAAAATTGAAGACACTAACTCAACGAGAGAAACTACGTCCCTGTGATAGTAAAATGTTATTTAATCATTCATGGGAATGTCCCTGTGACATAACCTTTACAAAGATAAGAGCACGGCAAACCGTTTGGGCAAGTTGCTATATTGAAGAACATATTTCCACCGCGCCGTGCCGGGGTGGTTTCGGATCGTCGAATTTGTATTCTAGGCCCGGGGCCAGGCCCATGCAGGCCCGATACAAGCCCGACTCGACAGTCAAAAGACTTTCCATTTCCTCTGGCGGTAGGGCGCAGCGTGCGCCAAAGATATGAGATTCCCCTCCCAATTACACATGGCATGGCAAGCGCATGCACAACGTGGTGCAATCTAAAGCCACCCCTTTTTTTTTCCGTATAGTCTCTCTTTTTTGTTCTCTTAGCCCGTTTGGTTTTGTTCATTTATTCCCAAAATCAGTTTTGAAACAGGAATCCTTTTGATAAACTTTTTATTCTCAGGCACAAATTTGCAAAAAGTTATTCCCAGAATCAGTTTTGGAATATAATCAAGAAGCAAAAAAAAAAAATAGCTTCTTGATTTTGGGAACAAAAATCAGAATTGGAAAAGAAATTATTATTTTTTCTTCTTCTTTCCCGTTCTTTCTGTTCTTCTTCATTTTTTTTGCCTGGCCGGCCACCGGGGACCGGCGAGGGCGGCCCTCGCCAGCCTTTTCCAGCCCTCGCCCAAGCCGGCGAGGGCCGCCCTCGAGGTTCGCGGCCTGGGCGAGTGCGGCGACGAAAATCCAGCCCTCGCCGGCTCGGGCGAGGTTTGGAAAAGGCCGGCGAGGGTCGGGTCCAGCCCTCGCCCTCACCCTTGCCGGCCATGCCCGGTCGTTGGCTTTGGCCTGTGGCCGGTTGCCGGCCTGTAGTTGATCGACGACCAGGCCATGGCCAAGAAGGAGGAGAAGAAAAAAAGAAAGAAAGAAATACTAAAATATTTAAAAATATTATTAATAAAAAGAAATTTTGTGCCATTATCAAACGCATTTCTATTCTTTTTTTATTCTAGGAATGAAAATTTTGGACCGTTACTAAACGCTTTTAAATGCTCAGAATTAATTTTCTGTTACAGAATAAAAAATAATTATTTTTTAGTAGAATCAGCTCTCGAGCACTGTATTGTTGTCGTGCATACTCTTAGTAAAAAAATTCTCTGACGAAAAGATATCAAATTTCCAAGTTTCCAGATACAGTGTATCTGGGTACGGGAGTCGTT